TTCGATGGCCCTCGTACCTCAGTTCAGGCCGCCATAGCTCTTCAGGAGGCTACTGCTGTTCTTCACCTGCACGCCCAAGCTGTAGCCGTCCAGAACATCCGTCATCTTGTCCGCGTCGTTCTCGACGTCACCTCCGGCAGCTTCGCTCGGTGGCGCGAGCAATTCCTGCTCGTCTGGGCAAGTACTCCCTTCAGGGCCATGTTCTTCAGGACGATCGTCCCCTGAACTCGCCAGACTGGGAACGCATGGACTGCGTCGTCGCTCTGGCTCTCGGCACCCTCTCCGGCAATCTCCACGACATTGTCCGGCATCGCGGCGACCAAGGCGACATCGCCCGTACACACGGCTTGCCATTGAGAGCCAATTTCTCTACAGAGGCGGAGGCGCGCGCTCTCATTCTTGACGTAAACCTTGACGCTTGTCGGGGGACCTATCTCATCACCGACCATCGCAAGCTTCTCAAGACCACCGCCGACAACCTCGGCGATCTGGGTGAACCCGTCGGTGACCGCTCCCTCGTCCTCAATCTCATCCGAGGTTTGAACGAAGCGGTTTGTCTCCATTGGCCGCCATCTTCGACGCAGCCTGCCCCTTCCTTCCTTCTTGAGGCCTCACGACGAGCTCACTCTCGAGGAGCTTACCATGGGGCCCGACTCCGTCTCCTCCCACGGCTCTCGTCGCCAAGCCTGACGTGCTGGCTCCTCGTGCCGCCCAGTGATTGGGCATCCCAACACCAAGCACTGGGGGTGGCAAAGGGGCGGCTTTGGTGGCAAAAACAATCGTCATGGCGGCTGGGGCGAGGCGGCAGCAGTGAACTGGAGGCGGCAAAAGCGTCGGCTCGAGCACGTCTGCTCCATCCAACTGAGGGGCGAGTGGGTCTTGGCCCACCCACTACAACCCGTGGCTCATTGTCCCCGGCCGCGTCCTCTCGCTTCATGTGCGGTGCACCCACCCACCACCACACAAAGACGTTCTTGGCACAACAGGAGCCTTCCGGCCGCAGAACAAACACCCTCCAAAGACTGCTTTTTGAACGGTACTGCGGAAGAGCCTCTCTCCGCTGCCTTCTACTGGTCGGCTAGGTGCTCCTGTGCCTTTCTTTGGCACCTCGGCTACTCCCGCTTCTACACCTCTCCAACCGGTCTTCCCGTGGCCTTCGATCGGCAATCCTTGCTTCCACCTTCAAAGACCATGACACTACTGAATGGCCGAACAACGACCGGTACCCGACTCGGGTGCCACCTCCCACATGACTTCCGATTCTCGCACTCTTTCACACCCTAACTCTTCACAAGATCCTTCTCCTTCTTCTATCATTGTCGGTGATGGCTCCTTACTTCTGTCACCGCCATGGCACCACCACTCTCACCAATTCTCATCCCTCAATAATGTTCTTGTTTCACCACGCCTCATTAAAAACCTCATTTTGAGACGCCAGTTCACCACCGACAATAATTGTCTTTGTTGAATTTGACCCCACTTGGTTGTTACGTGAAGGATCTGGAGTCTCACAAGGTGATCATCAGTGCAATAGCTCAGGGCCCTCTACCCATTACATCTCCCCTGGCGCCACCGCCTTGTCTGCCGATTCCTCACCGCACTTTGGCATCGTCGGCTTGGCCATCCTGGTCGTGACACGTTGTCCAAAGTCACCTCTGTTATTCTGGTTGTACTAAAGAACTTGGTTCTATTTGTCATAAATGTCGATTAGGCGTCATACACGCCTTCCGTTTCAAACATCATCTTCTCGGGCCTCTAATTTATTTGAGCTCATTCAACGTGATTTATGGACTTCCCATTGTTAGTGTTTACGGCTTCAAATACTACTTAATTATACTCGATGATTATTCCCACTATGTTTGGGCGTTTCCTCTTCGTCTCAAATCGACATGTTTACCACTCTAACTAACTTTCTCGCCTATGTTACTTTTCTCAAAAGATGGCAATCTTTGTTGTAAAAGCTATCCAATGTGACAATGGCGAGTTTGATAACTCTATCTCCCGCTCCTTCCTCACCTGTGACATCCACCTTCGCATGTCCCTGTCCATATACTTCATCTCGAATGGGCGGGGTGAGCGCATGATCCGCACCATCAATAATGCGGTTCGCTCCCTTCTTATTCAAGCTTGCATGCCCCCCTTCATCTTTGGGTTGAAGCATTACACGTCGCCACACATGTTCTCAACATCCTACCCACCAAAACCCTTCACTCCTCCACACCTCACTCGTCTCTGTTTGGTGTTCAAATTTCAATACGACCATCTTGGCGTCTTTGGTCAAGGCTTGCTATCCTAACCTTTCCGCCACGACCACCCACAAACTTGCACCTCGATCCTCCTTGTGCATCTTTCTTGGCTATTCCTCCAACCATAAAGGATACCGCCTCGACCTTCAAACCAATCGTGTTCTCATCTCTCGACATGTCGTGTTTGATGAGAACTCGTTCCCCTTCCCAATGACCCCTCCTCCCAATCCAATGGACTTGATTTTCTAAGCGATGATCTTCGATCCCATGCCCAAAGTGCACCACTACCTTTATTTCCCACTGGTACCTCCGTTGGTGTTCTGCAAGACGCCACGTCGCAGCACCCCCTGTCAAGACGCCATCAAGACCCTACACTGACCGTCCTCGTGTGGCATTCGGTGTGATCGATGCACCGTCGAGCCGAGATGAATGATGCCATGCGGTGCGGGCAAGGTTCTTTCACCAATATCAGCGCCGGCCACTCCTCCCTACACTGCTGCTGCTGCTGCAGCTCCAGTATTCTTTGCGCCAACAGCCGCTACATCTACGCTGCTTGCTGCTGCTGCAGCTCGGTATTCTGCTGACCCGGCGCCCAGTCCCTCCGTTCTGCGGCAGCCCCGTCGAGGCCTCGACCCTTCTTTGGTGTATTCACGGCGCGGCCAGAGCGCTCCTCCTCCTCCAAGAATCGGCCCGGTGCCTCGGCGGCCAGCTCGCCTAAGGGTGCCGTGTGCATGCAGCCCACCGTCAACAATCACGGCATGACAACACACGCCAAAAGCTGGTCACCAGTTTCCTAGTGTCTACAACAAAGACAACATCATCACGGTGCCCATGCAGCTTAGTAGTGCCCTTATCGATCCCAATTGGAGGGCTGCCATGGAAGAAGAGTTCTCTGCTCTCCTTGAGAACAACACATGGGAGCTTGTTCCTCGACCGTCTCAAGGCAACATTGTCACTTTGGTAAATGGATTTTCAAGCACAAATTAGGGTCGACGGGTCCCTAGAGCGCTACATAAGGCTCGTTGGGTCCTTCGAGGCTTTACTCGGCGCACCGGGGATCGACTTTGACGAGACATTCATCCCTGTTGTCAAGCCCCGCTTACGTTGAGACGGTGCTCTCTCTCGCCCTCTCCCATGAACGGCAGTTCACCGACTCAATGTAAAGAATGCCTTTCTACACGAGACCACATGCGAAGCTGTTTTTTTGCCTGACCTGCTGGTTTTGAGGATCCCACTCATCCCGGATATGTCCGCCGACTCAACAAGTCTCTATGGTCTCAAGCAAGCTCCTCGGGCATGGTATAGTCGCTTTGCTACATTTATTCTCACTTGGATTTGTGAATGCCAAGACAGACACCTCCCTATTTATCTTCCATCATATGGTGCCGACACAGCATACTTGCTGCTGTACGTAGATGACATCATCCTCACTGCCTCCTCCACAGCTGTCCTCCGTTGCATCATATCTGCCCTACAGCGTGAGTTCAACATGAAGGACCTTGGCAAGTTACACCATTTTCTTGGAATGCAAGTTCAAGACCCCGGGATGGATGTCGCTTTTGTCTCAAAGCAACAATACATGATGGAGATTCTTGACCGGGCTGGTATGACTGAATGCAAACCCTGCTCTACTCCAGTTGACACCAATACAAAGCTATCTGCAGTAAGTGGTGACCCAGTTCAGGATCCCTCTGATTTTCGCAGCCTAGCTGGTGCTATTCAGTACCTCACTTTCACTCGTCCGGACATTGCTTATGTTGTTCAAACAAGTGTGTCTCCACATGCATGATCCACGGAACCTCACTTGGGCGCCCTCAAGCGGATCCTTGGTGATGTTCGCGGGACTCTACATTTGGGGTTGGTGCTCCGCCTCATCCCAACACATGGTGGTCGCCTACTCGATGTCGATTGGGCATTTGCCGGATACTCATAAGTCCACTTACGGATATGCGGTCTTCCTTGATGATAACCTCATTTCTGGTCCTCCAAACGCCAAAACACCGTGTCCCGATCCGAGGTGAAGCCGAATATCGCGCGTTGCCAACACTATTGCGAGCTTCTCGGTGCGCCAACTTCTCAAATAATTACGCCCCCCTTGCGGCGTGCTACATTGGTCTCATTGTGACAACATCGGTTGCCCGTCTACATGTCCGCCAACCCAGTCCAAAGATCGGTGGACTAAACACATCGAGATTGATCTCCATTTTGTTCGGGAACATGTTGCTCTTGGTGTTGTTCAAGTTCTTCATGTTCCAACCACCTCTCAAAGATGCCGACATCTTCACCAAAGGATTGCCATTTTCGCTCTTCACAGAGTTTAGAAACGGTCTCGAGCGTCCATTGCACCGATGCTCGATTTGGGGGATGTTAGCAAGTTATGTTTGCCTCCTAGTCTATTGTGCTGCGCTTGGACTCTGGAGACTGACCATGCGCCAAAGCTAGGCACTTGTGCTATTTAGTATGAGTTAATTAGGTTCCTAGATTGTGTTCACACCTTGAACCCTTGAGTTCTCCTGCCTATATATTGTAATCCCTTGTAATCTGTGATCTATCAATATATACTATTCAGAGTTTATCTCTCTCACAATAACATTTTAGGGTCACAAAATAAATAAACACCAAATAAGTAGCAAACACTGGACATAATACAAAGGTTTTAGTTTTCTCCTCTTAGATTTTTTAAAGAAGTAAAAGCACCATTTTGCAGATTCAGAATATATTGCATAGATGATAATGACATTATAAAACAGTAAAATGGTATGTTACCTATGAACGCCACATAACGTAGGTCACCCTGCTTTCAGGACGTCCGATTAATCGCGATTAATCGCGACTAATCGTCCTGGACGGTTTTAGCAACTCGACTAGGGCCTCCGAATAGGCCAGACCGTCCAGGAAACTAGTCGTCCGATTAATCGTCGTCCAGCCGCGATTAATCGCCCGTCCAGGCTGTGCTAGTCGTCCAGCCCGTCCAGCTTAAGAGTGGGCTGTATCTGAGAGCTGGTCCTATTTTATATTTTGGCCCAAGCCCATTAGGGTTTTCCTTTCCTACCCCCTCACTCCCTCAGCCTCTCACTCACACGGCAGACACACTCACTCTTCAGTCTTCTAGTCTCTCACCTCTCCCAGTCCAGCAGCAGCCCTCCCTCTCCCTTCCAGCTGCTCCTCCCCCTTCCAGCTGCCCTCCCTTGGTTCCCTGCTGCTCCTCCCCCTTCCAGCTGCCCTCCCTCTCTTCCTTGTGGTTGCTGCAGTGCTACAGGCACGCAGGCCTGTAGATCCAGCGGGTGCAGAACTGCAGATCCAACTGTGCAAGGGAGGAAGACTGCACGAAGAATATGAGCCCCTCCTCAGGTCAGTCATCACCTCCTCGTTCAATCTTGGTGCTTTGAAGCTTGAAGCTCTGTTTCTCTGTGTAGATCTAGATCAACAGAGGCAACGTGCAGTGGAAGTGTACATGAACATCAGGTTGTGAGCGTAACTGGAGCGAATTCTCTAGTGTAAGTATCATTGCTAGAGTGTTAGTGCTGTTGGAAATTGTAGACCAATGTGATGTCATGTTATTTTTTTTTCTGCAGATTCACACCAAAAAGAGGAATAGATTAGAGCACAAGAGGCTAAATAAATTGGTTCATGTCAGTTACAACAAAAAGATGACAAATATGTTTCAAAAAATTCGAGAACTTGGTTGCAAAGGAAAGAGGAGCAGCCCTCTCTTGCTAGAAGAGTTTCAGTGGGACAGTGAATGGGTTGATGAGAATTGTGGGGAGCTGCCTTGGGCTGTTGTGGATGAAGCTATTGGTGCATCTGAGAATCTAAGGGCTCGCAACTTGCCTAGGGTTGCTGCTAGCCGTGCTGTAGCCACTGTCCAGAAGACCTATACTAGGAACAGGAAGCATCGTAGGGGGACTTCTGCAGCACAAGATATATCTGGAGGTGAAGAAGATGATAGTGACCATGATGCTGATGCAAGAAATGAAGACCAAGAAGATCAAGATGCATCTGATCCTGTGGCACCAATGGAGGAGGATGAAGACCCCCATGGATGTGCAACAGATAGAGATGGAGGAGGTTTTTGTGTAGATGGCACTCTACTTGAGTAGTTCTTTAGATCATTGGCTGTTTTGCCTATTTATGTACTGGACTTGATGTATGCACTATTGCACTATGCACTATGGCAATGGCAGTGTGGCACTATGCCCACTAGCCACTATGCACTATGCAGTTCTGGACTGGTTTAAATTGTGTGCTTTACTGTTTTAATTTCCTTTGTTGATCACTTGATTGCCTTTCACCTGATTGCCTTTCACCATATTTCCTTGCTAATGTGCTTTATTTTTCTATAATTTCAGTTTGTCAGCAGCAGCCAGCAAGACAAGAAAGGGCTCTGCAGCAGCCAGGTAAGTGGCCAACTGACCTATCTAGAGCCCAGAACATGTAATATATTAGTTTGTGTATATTAGTTTGAGTAACTATATAATATATATGGTATATCAGTTCCCCATATATAGGGGACGACCAGGGGACTCGTCCAGGGTCGATTAATCTTCCTGGACGACGACTAATCGTCCTGGACGTTCTGGACGGTCCCCAGGCGTCCAGACTCGACCAGCCGTCCTGAAAACATGGCGTAGGTGTCGATTCAGAAGGTGAAAATCCACACCTTAATGTGACTGTGTTGCTACCAAGCTCAATGGCGTGTACCAAAGACAAGGAAATATTTCCTAGTATCATCCTCCCCACCCAAATGGCCTGATAATCCTGCCAGAAATATCTGTTAGCTTCACTCCACACCATCAGTCCTCAGTTTCTAAGGGAATTGTGTGCATTGTGAATTTGTACAAACTGTCTGAACAGAACTTGAGAAATAGTGAAACCTCATATTTTGTTGCTGTTCTGAGCAGCTTAATAAGTGATGAGCATATCAGATAAGGTCCTCATGTAGTAGATGCTAATATGGTGGCTATTTTAGAGTAGAAAACAACATAAGGGCCCCAGATGACAGTTTTCGCGGCCAAAAATGATGGTTACTTGGCAACCTTAGATATTGCAACTTCATAATTAGAAAACGAAGCATGAATGAACACTTGAGTTATAAAAAGGCAGTTTATACATTGTCGCATACATGTATTATGTCTCATCAAACTAAAATGAAGAAGCAGACGTGGTGTAAAGAAACAAATCCATGGTATATGCAAATACAGTTGGAAATGAAATTGCTCAAAAGAGGGGCTACTGGCATTTGTCGGAATCACGATATAGGCACAAAAAAGGGAACTGAAGCCCAAGGATGCATCCCAAAAACGCCATTCCGTTGAGCGTTATTTTTTTGTTGGAGGTTTCAGATATAATCCTGAAATCTTTTCTTGACAATTAGAGGGCAAACTCAGAACAGGAATCCAGGTAGATGTGGGGACAAATCAAAGACACAAAAGCAAAACTAATAGAGACATTAAGAGGTGCGGCATAGTAAAATGATTTGCGCTGACATGACACACTTGAAGTGTTTCAGACATCTCATTCCGAAGAAAGTTTGAGAAGGTGGCACCTTATCTATGTTGAATTTGGTTGTTCTACCGCATGATGGCCAACCCCCATAGTTGCAGTGTGGCCAGAGGCCATCTGTCCAGACAAAAGGTCACGAAATTGCTATTAGTACTTGGATGGAACTGTGTTGGCCTATCTACTATATGACACAGAATGCTGTAGTTACCAAGGAGGAGATTGTGATGATAGATAGTTGGTTTAGATAGTGAGTGAATCTTCATTGGCCAAAATATAATTTTAAGAAAACACAAAATACAAATAGAAAAAAGATGGATTGGTGTGAGTCTAAGTAAATGTAGTGAGGCGGAAACTCGTTGTGCATACCCTTTTGAACATGGTGTATTTCAGTAAATAAGTCCTTGGATGAGAGAATTTGCTCTTTTTAATACCACTGTAATTTGTAAAAGCGCAAGAATGGATAAACATCAGCGGTCACTAATTCTTTTCTACTAAATAAAATGTAAATTAAAGAATTAATGTCCCATGAATGCATACTACAATTCCAATTCAGTACATGAAGGAACCAGAAGGGCCAGGTTCAGACTTAAATAGTTTCTAACAAAATCCAATCTCAGACAATGTACAAAGTCATCCAGTGTTGGATCTAAACACTGCCATATGGAAAAAAGAAATCTAGAATTCATTTATGACATTTTCAAAATATCAGTCACATAATTGTAGTACCAGTCTCTCACTTACCAATAGACTGCTGCAGCTCCTGTTCCAGGTATCATTCCTTCTACTCTTCCTTTTTTATCAGTCCATCAAAAAAATGTGGACCACATACTGATATGTGTTGTCTCCATCTACAATCGAACACTCTAGGTCAATAATGAATTTTTAGGCAGAATCAAGTGTTTGTTTCACTCTCGAACATGGACAACCTATTTTTAGGGTCACATAAATAATCAGGCAGTAACATCAAAAAAATTTGTCTTGAACTGTGCATCGAAACATCATATAGTGTTTGTCCCTGTTACCTCATGTAATAATTTCATCTAGTATAGCAGTACTAAAGATAATTCAAAACTTTCACGGTGAAGCACAGGAACCAGCCATTTCATGACAGAGAATGCTGAACAAATTCTTATACATTCAAGAAGCATACTGCATTACACTGTTATGAATAGGTTATTACAAATGGTTCATGGGTAGTCAGCAAATTCTACCTGATGCAGCCTGTCCAACGGTAAGTCCTGAGAAAGCACTTCGGAAGTTCAGACTTGAGAGCAAACCAGATTGTAAAACTCTTACATTGGGAAGAGGCAGTGGCACTCGCCTCCTTCGGAGGAGCGCTGCAGGAACTGAAGCCCATGGCCAGCTCCATGTCCGAGTCCCACAGGCTCTGAAGAGGTCAAGAGTTCAGTGAGAGAATGCAAATGCAAGCATCATAACCAGACCACAAGATTTCCATGCTAAGTTTGAATTATTAGAGATCAAGGCTGCACTCACCATGAGTAGTTCGTCCAGCTCCCTGGGCATCGCCATCGCGTCATTCCGCATAGTCGTCCAGTCCGTGGCAGCTGCTGTTGACGCCTCTCTTTTCCCATCCGTGCAAGAGACTGATTCGCAAAAAAAAAAAAAAAAAAAAAATCCGTGCAAGAGACTGGCAACAAAGAAATTAGACCGGAAAAAAAAAATCGACCGACCAGCTTGCCCAGCCCTGCGTCTCACCCACACGGCGTGCCTTGGCCGCCGGAGCGAGGGGCGCCGCACGCACCGGCCCGGGCCTGCCACCTGCTGCGACGCGTCTCCTCCTCGGCTACTCTTCAGGTCCACATCGCCGCCGGTGACGTCGCCACCACCGTGCGGCGCCCCGCAAACCGCCTCCAGCAAAGCGGCCAGCGACGAGGTGGGGAGGACGCGCCGCCGCCGCCGAGGGAGGCTCCCGTGGCAGGCTGCTGCCGCCGAGGGCCGGTGCGCCGAGATGGGTTGTGCTGGGGGCGCAACCGCCAGCGGGAGCCCCGTGGAGACGGCCTTCGTGGACGCCGGCGCGGTGGTGCGTGCCCACGTGGGGATCGGCATCGGAGAGGCCAAACCCTAGGCAGCCGTTCGCATCGAGAGATGGAGCAACGCTGCCCCGGTCCTGCGGCGCGAGGAGGAGAGGAGCGTGGAGGGGGAGGAGGAGGCTGGACGCCGCCGCGCCGAGGGCCGGCGACCGACGAGCTCGGCCTGCTTGCGCCGTCGCGCCATCGGCGTCGGGAGAGAGGGGTCGAAGAGGAGGCGAGGGGAAGAGAAGGTTGGTGAGGCCCGATTGGGGAGAAGCCGAGGTAAAGTATTTAGGCAGTACAACGTGGAGTAGAAGCTAGATTCGAATAGAAGCTGTAGTAAAAAAGTTTATTTACAGAGGAGGAGAAGCAAAGTAAGACCCCGTTTAGTCCAAGCCAAAAACCAAAAATTTTCAAGATTCTTCGTCACATCAAATCTTGCGGCACATGCATGGAGTACTAAATGTAGACAAAAAAAAAACTAATTACACAGTTAGTCGAGAAATCGTGAGACGAATCTTTTAAGCCTAAATAATCCATAATTGAACAATTTTTGTCAAATAAAAACGAAAGTGCTACAGTAGCCAAAAGCCAAAAAAATTCGGAACTAAACGCGGCCTAAGTAAGATTTACGTGCTAAGCTGGTCCTGTAGAAAGCTGATTCAATAAATCTTGACCGTAAACTTCGAAATCTGATGGCCGGGTAACAAGCAGTGCTTGCCTGAGAGCACTGGCCGGCGCATGCTGCCAGGAATGGGAGCTTGGTAGCGTGGCATTTTCTCTAACAAAGATAAAGATTTGTTTGCTTTTTTTTTTTTACTGTGGAGCCTGCAAGCTCGGTTGCCGGTGGTTCGCGAGTGTTAGGGAGGCAAAGCTTAAATTGTAACATTCAATCCTCCCAAATAATGCGCTTCAGCGCAATGTAAAAACTAATTCTACTTAATACAGAGATGCACAAACCTTTTACATATTTGAGAAAAAAAAACTTTTTTATTGTGATATATATACGCAACTATGCATCAAAATTGTCTAGCAATTTATGGTCAATGAACCATAGATCATCTTCTATAGTATAATTGGAGCTTCTCTCTCTCGTTCTCTTTCTAGAGAATGCCATTATTGTATTATTAAGAATGCATATCCTTTGAGTACAAACACAAAATACAAAACAAATGAAACAATATACTATCATAGGTTGTTCTAGCTTTTGTAGGTATACCGGGGATCTAAAACAAGACAAAAAAAACGCGATCTGGGGGGACGGCGTCCCACCAGTATTTCATTAAGAAGAAGATCTTTTCATCAGATCGCGGAAAACCTCGGAACCCCAGCCCCACCGCATCTTGTGAGATAGGATGACCATAGCCCTGTACTTTCGGCGTGGGACTGACAAGGTGATTTTATTACCCATAGCCCCTGAAATTCGTCCCAAATGGCTAGCAAATATGCATAGCCTGGGGATCGAACTCAGGCCCCAGGGTGCCTCGGGAGCGCTTAACCACTTGGGCTAGCGTCCGTTGGCCTAAAAAAATACTTTTGAATGAAGGAAGTAAAATTTTAGGATTTAAGACTTCTTTTAAAACAAATCCGGCAGGAGGATTTAGAACTCACTGACAAGTGATATATGACTCGACATGCATGTCACTGAGACATGGTGTCCCAAAATCCTGATGAGTGGCGGCACTTTCCCGTTTTTGAGTGTTTATATATTCAAAATGCAGATCCTCGATATAAATGTGGTATGCAGATAAAAGCATAGGATCATTTAATTTATACTTTGAAGAATAAAACTTAAACCAAACAATATCGTTTGTGCTTAACTGCTCAATAAAACGCAAATGTATATCAGGTCATACATATCCATATGACCGAGATGAAGTTCAGAGCAATTGTTTCTTCAAAAAAAAAGTTCAGAGCAATTAACCTCTGTTGCCACCACCCCTATAGCTAAAATGTAATTTATTTTCTTGACCGGCCAAGATGCATGCTCTCAACAAATCTCCGAAGACTCGTTTCCAACGGCCCATCCGCAGCCACGGCCTGCCTTGCCTTCTCCTTGAGCCCACTCGCGTTCTCCCTCACCTGCACCGCCCTGTCACCGGCACCCATCACCATCTCCACACACCTCGCGAGCTCCTCTCGCGCCAATACGCCTTCCCCATCCCGCTCCGCCCTGACGCCCACCTCCCACTCCTCCTCCACCAGCCACGCGTTCACGGGCTGGTCCGACCAGCTCGGCGCGGCGACCATGGGCACGCCGCACACCACGGCCTCCAGCGTCGAGTTCCACCCGCAGTGCGTCACGAAGCACCCCACCGACGGGTGCGCCAGCACCCGCTGCTGGTCGCACCACTCCACCACCACCCCCTTCGCCGCCGCGTCCGTCAGGCAGAGGTCGTCGTCGTCCACCTCCGCCTCGGCGCGGCCGTCCCTGCGCACCACCCACAGGTAGGGCCGGCCGGTGGATCGCAGCCCGTGGAGGACCTCCTCGGCTTGCCGTCTCGTGTACTACCCCAGCAGGCTCCCGAACGAGAGGTAGACGACGGACCTCTCCGGCTGCAAGTCCAGCCACTCCATGTACGCCGCCGTCTCGTCGTGCAGGAACAGATGGATCTGCGCGAATTCGCCGCTCCCGTCGTCGTTCTTCAACGGAACTGCCGGCCCGACGGCGAAGACTTGGACGTCGTCGTCCATGTATGGCTGGAGTGATTTCAGCGCGGCGTCTTCCAGCGCGCCGAACGTGTTCACCAGAACCACCGGCTTCTCGTCGTCCATCTGCTGGAACAGCTCGCGCATCGATTGGAGCACCAGCTTGGACAGCCCGTCGTCGTCCTGCGCCTTCTCCTCGCTGAAAAAGAAGCTCGGCATGTCGCGGGCTCTAAGAGGGCGGTGCAGGCCTGGAAGAATTATCACCTCGTCTGAGGACGACGACCTCAGATTGGCCCCGCCGCCAGCGCCGGCGGCGGCGACGAGTTGATGGAGCTCGTCGTGGCCGTGGAAGTAGTGGTAGTAGGTGGCGAGAACGGTCGCCGGCTGGATCCAGTAGATGGCTAGCGGGAGGCCGTGCGCGCAGGCGACCTCGCCGACCACCGGCATGCTGAGGGTGCACACCACGCAGGTCACCGGTGGCCGGCCACTGCCACTGGCGGCTGCGAGGCGGGTGATGACGGCGGACAGGGTTCTGAATGAAGTTGGCGTCACGGCATGTCCCTAGGAGTAGAAAATAATTTCCATATATATATATAGTTAAATCTATAATTCAAATGCATGTAACGAGGCGCTGTTCAATTTTACTCCCTAATTGACAAGATGCGTTGTCGTTGCGGTGGCGCTGCCGGCTGCAGCTAGCGTTACAGTATTGCTCGACCAACTAACTCCAAGGCGTATGTTAGGCTTATATTCGTTTGAAAAAACAAGTTTACGCCTACGGGCTATCATCTCCTTGTCAAATTTTCCCACTCGCATCGCTCATTCAGTCAATATACATGAGCCGTTTGTCAGAAAAAAAAAAGGCATCACGCAACACACGTTGGTTTCGGTCTATATTCTCTCCATGACCAGACCACTCTTTCGCATTGTAGAAAACATTTTACTTTTTTTATATTCATGTCCCCTTGGAACGTGAGTCTTTTAATAACTATATAAAAACGAATTTTTTTTTTTGAAAATTTATGTATGACTCCTGTGAAGATCTTGCGTCCCACAGAAACCCTCTAATATAGTAGCACTACCAAGAATTTACAAGAAAGCTGGAAAATCAAATGCAAAAATTAAGGACTCAGGTTAGCGAACTACTAGCGCCCGGACGATCCAGGCGCTAGCGTCCGGACGCTCGAGGCAGTTGCGCATGGCTGCGCCCGCCGGCACGTCTACGTGCTTCACGTGGAGGTTGAAAGCTCTAGTTTGATTTTGATGAATTGATGAAATCATAAGTGATAACTTAGTTCATCAAAGTAATTATGAGATAGATAGCACTACTCCAAGTGGTGAAGCAAATGAAGATCATGACATGATGATGGTGTTGCCATGGTGATGATCAATTGCTTGGACTTGAAAAAGAAGTAAAAGAAAAACAAAAGGTTCAAGGCAAAGGTATAAGTGGTAGGAGCCTTTTCGTTTCGGTGATCCAGACACTTAGTAAGTGCGATCACATTTAGGTTCGATAGCCGTACTATTAAGAGGGGTGAAACTCGTATCAAAATACAGTTATCAAAGTGCCACTAGATGCTCTAACTCATTACATTTGCATTTAGAATCTAGTGGAGTGCCAACACCATTGAAAATGTTTGTGAAAATATGCTAACACATGTGCACAAGGTGATACACTTGGTGGTTGGTACATTTGAGCAAGGGTGAAGAAGATAGAGTTGAAAAGGAGTTAGTCGCGCTGGTCACAGAGTGACCGGACGCGTCCGGTATGGTGACTGGATGCGTCCGGTATTAACGACCGGAATCTGGCTCAGTGGAGCGACCAGACGCCGAGGAGTTACTGTTCAGCGTCCGGTCAAAGTGATGTGGCTCGGTACTAAATTGCAGAGAGCGACCGGACGCGTCCGGTGTGAATCAGCGAGCCTCGGGTTCTCAGCGTTAAAATTAATCGGACTCTAGGAGCGTCCGGTCCAGTGTAACCGGACGCGTCCGGTCGGCCCAGAGTGGCTCTGGGAGCTCAATGCACTCGACCGGACGCTGAGTCTCCTACGTCCGTTCGTCCACATCGGACGCGTCCGATCGTAGGTGAGTGTGTGGTACTCGTGGCAGCAGCGGCTACTTCATTTTGAATTGGACACGTGGCAGTCAAGTAGTGATCGGACACGAGGTCGATGCGCAGTCAGCCCAATAATTGAGCTAACGGCTCTATTCGTGGGGGCTCTCTATTTAAGCCCCGTGGCTGGTTCAAGCTCACTCTCTTGACCATTTTCATTGATATAGCAACCTTGTGAGCTTAGCCAAAGCCCTACCACTCATCTCCATCGTTGATTCAACATCCTTGTGAGATTGGGAGTGAATCTAAGTGCATTGCTTGAGTGTTTACATCTAGAGACACTTGGTGTTCGTGTTTCGCTGCGGGATTCGCTTGTTACTTTTGATGGTTGCCGCGCACCTATATGGTTTGGAGCAGCGAGGATCGTTGAGCGGAGGTTGGTGATTGTCTCCGGTCCTGATCGTGGTAATTATGAGGGGTTCTTGAGCTTTCCCCGGCGGAGAGCCAAAAGGTACTCTAGTGAATTGCTCGTGGCTTGTGTGATCCTCATCTTGTGTTTGTTGTGCGGCACCCTATCGAGGATTTGGCGTGTGATGCCAATTAGCGCGTGAACCTCTAAGTAAATGAATCACCACAGTAAGGACTAGCTTGCCAGCAAGCAAGCGAACCTCGGTAAAAAATCATTATGTCAATATTTAATTCCGATGTGATTGGTCTTCATTGATATTGATTCTTGTGATTGATTGGTTCATTCTTCGACTCGGCGGTATAATCATCTTGCTCACTCTCTTTATATTACCGCAAACTAGTTGTCAAGCTCTTTAGTGTAGCTAGTTATGAGAGCTTGTTAGTTTGGTTAGTATAGTGTAATACCCCTGGTGTTACGAGCTCGTTTAGCACTAGGATTTAGGCCTAAGAAAAATTTCCGGAACGAGTCTCTCGGATTTTTAAATTTTAAATTTTAAAATATTTGAGTTTATGTTTAAAATGCCATTTTTGACAAACTATATTGGGCAAAGTAATTAAATAGCGCTTAAATATTTTATCTTTATGGGTTAGTGCAAAGTATGAATTTTTGCGTGAAATAATTATCAGTGGAAGTTAATCGGATCCGACGATGCATAAACACATAACGAGACAAAGCACGATATTCATTTAATTTTCTTGACGTGACTTGATTGGGTGTCATGAGACGTACTGTCATGCTAGACTAGACGTGTCTGCACTAGTGTAGTGTAGTACATGTTCTGTGTATAATATGTAACTGTACTGTACTCGTGTCATTATCACTCCATCTCTGGTCTATCCACCCGGCTTTTTTCCCGAACATGTTTAGTTCCATCAAATTCCTAATTTTAACACTATGCAAAAAGAAAATTTTTCGTCGCATCAAATTTACGGTACATGTATGGAGTACTAAATATTGACGAAATCAAAAACTAATTACACAGTTTGGTTGTACTATGCGAGATGAACGTTTTGAGCATAATTAGTCAACGATTGGACAATTATTACCAAATAAAAACAAAATTGTGCAAATCGTTGACTAATTAGGCTTTGGACTGTTTTAGCTACAGTGGCGTTTTGTTTTTATTTGGTAATAATTATCCAACCGTTGACTAATTAGGCTCAAAACGTTCGTCTCGCAAAGTAAAACCAAACTGTGCAATTAGTTTTTGATTTCGTCAATATTTAGTACTCCATATATGTACCGTAAATTTGATGTGACGGGAAATCTTCTTTCTGCGTGGTGCCAAAATTTAGAATTAATGGGAACTAAACAGCCCCTTAGTAAAATTTTGCATGCGGCGGCAGTGGCTTGCAGCGTCAACAACCATCGCGTCCTCTGCTCGTCCTGTCCTTGCCCCTCTCTGTTGTTTGCTCCTTGGACGCCCTGATGGCCGACCCGTGTAATGTCGTCATCCCGCATTTTCTGTATCTCACTCCATCCGTGTCTGGCCGTGCCTGCCTCGGCTTGTCTCTGTCTGCTGCCTTGTTTGTATGTGCCTGTTTTGTCGTATTTTTTTTGGCAGGACAATCAATGTCTCTTAGACTGCCCACAATGTATCGTTTTACCGGTGCTTGAAGAGGAGAGAGAAGGTCCAAGCACCTGTGCCGACCGTTGCGAGCGATGTCGAATTTCCAGAAAAATTGGGCACCGAGTCATGTAGAAGCATCGATGCTTCAAACCTCTCTCTGGCAACATGCATGTATATGAGAGAGAAAAATGTGCACAAGAGAGAGGAAAACTGTCTACAGTTGTTGCTTTTTACTGTTTAGTAGGTCCTACACGATGCCTGCCCATTGCAGCTTGTCTTCATCGATGCTGAGTTTCTGCTTTTAGTTTTAGGCATCGATGCACACACTGTGGCCAGTCTTACTGTCTCTACTGCACGTTTCGGTGTATATATATATACACTCGGCTGCCTGGGCCCTTGGTTAGTTACCAGAATCCAAATTTTGGCACTATACAAAAAGAAGATTCTCCATCATATTAAACTTACGGTATATGTATAGAGTACTAAATGTTGACGAAATCAAAAACTAATTGTACAGTTTGGTTGTATTTTGCGAGACGAACATTTTGAGCATAATTAGTCAACGATTGGACAATTATTACCAAATAAAAACAAAATACTACATTGTGCTACATTGCTGGAACAGTGCGGAGAATTCCAACGGCGCCGATTCTGCAGGCAACTAAACGCGGCCTGGTTTCTCAGCGGTCGGCACTGCCAGCACTTTTTAGTGTGTGGATATATATATATATATATATATATATATATATATATGCATCGAGCACCCAAGTGCGCCAGCGTCCCCTCTCTCTGCTTGATACCTCTGCTGCCCTGTCACGCCGGGTCATTTTCATTTCCCTGTGCGTGCAGCTGTGCCGCTGCCGGCCACACTGCACCGCCCCATCCTATCTCCGCGTGGTGTCATGCTGCCCTGTCGGCCTCCCTCGGCTTCTTGAATACGCCTGCCTGCTGTCTTCTTGCTTAAGCCGACGACCGAACTACCCCACGCTCCTCTCCCATCGCCTGCCGAGCAAACCGTGCGCCCGGCCAGACATGGCCGTGCCCGCAGCCGCTCACCGGCACCCCTTCCTTTCTCCCTCGCGAGCGCGCCCCTCCCTGACTCCGCGCGGGCCTGCTGCCCTCGGCGCGCCGTGCCGCAGCGCCGGCCGAGACCGCAGCCACCACGGTGCGCCATGGCTGCCTCCTTCGCCGCTCTGCTAGCGCCGCCGATTTCTCCTCGCGTTGCTCCACCTCCAGCGTCGGGGCTCCCTGCTGCCCCGTCGCCGAGCATCCGCGCCGGGTCCGCCGCTGCCGGAGGGTCTGCCCTCGCCGGGCCGCCGTGACTCGCAGCACCTCCTCGCGCCGAGCTCCGCAGCACTCGCCTCGCACATCGCGCCGCCGGTGCCGGTCCTCCCCACGAGCGCGTCCTCGAGCCGCAGCACGCCATGGCCGCGACCCGCGCGCAGCTCTACCTCCCCGAGTCTCCCGGCCGCGCGCTCCTTTCCCGCGCACGTGCGCCCGCCATCGCGCCGAGCGTCGCCGTGCCGCGCTGCCGTGCACCCCGCCTGAGCCCGCAGGCGGTTTCACCTCGCCTCGCACCCCTCGGCTCCTCCCGAGCCCCGATGCTGGCTGCCTTGTCCCGCGCCGTGCCTCATGCCACCGGTGCCGACCTTCCCCGCGTTGGACCCGCCGCTCTGTTCCACGGCTGCCGCGCCCGCGTGCCGCACCACCGCGTGGCCGTCCCCGGCCGCCGTCGCCCGCCCACCAGGCACGCCTCGGTTCCGCTGCTGCCCACAGCTACGCGCCGCTCATCCAGCCGCCCGCGCGCGAGCACGCCGTGGTCGGCCGGTGCTCCTCCCCTGACGATGCTCTGTTCTGAGATTGAAGAAGCGAGGTGAGGAGGGTATATATCCAAGCAAAAGAATTATACGGGGTCCTTTTTGCTAAGGCCTTGTTTAGATGTTAAAATTTTCGATAAAATGGCACCGTAGCAGTTTTCGTTGTTATTTGACAATTAGTGTTCAATCATAGTCTAATTAGGTTTAAAAGATTCATCTCGTGGATTTCGTCTAAACTGTGTAATTAGTTTTATTTTTTATTTATATTTAATGCTTCATGCATGCGTCCAAAGATTTGATGTGATGAGGAATCTTGAAAAATTTTGCAAAATTTTTTGCAACTAAACTGGACCTAAATATATGACTCAAGTAAATAGTGCCAATGTCCTACGGGTTTATTTTGAGAAAGTACGAGGGCCTGTTCGCAAATGTCTTTGTGCACACTGCCAACCTTGGGCAGCTCGCCTGCGCCTCTGTCATCCACGACACGCTCCGCCTTGGCACGTGGGCGCCTCCTCCGGCCCATTGGGCAAGCTGCGCTGCCTTGCCATGCTGTTGGTCGTGTCTTGCTTCAATGCCACCACCTTTGCTAGGTAGCTACCGATGTGATGGCCTTGTTGGGCCTTGTCTTGGATGTGGGTTGTCGAAATGGGTATTTTATTTAACATGGCTGAAATTTGTAAATCCTTAATAAATCAAATAAAAATTATAAAATTGTGAAACCAATTTTGTTAGATTCCTAAAATCATGATCTACCTGTTAGTATAATTTGTTCCCATAGTTTGCTAATATTTTTGGAAGCTATATAATTAATTTAAGTTACTTAATATTGTAAAAAGATAACTGGTATGAATTGTTGTGATAAATTGGTTCTAAAATAATTAGCTTACTAAATAGATAACGATGCCCTATTCCGAATAAAGATTAAATCGATAGAATGAAATAAAGAAACAACTTGGGTTTGTATAACTAAAAACAATTATTGGGAAATAACGCATTGATTCGACAACATGGATACGTAGCTGAGTACGGTCGTTGTCAGAGCTAGCCCATTAACTCGAGAGGCGTAAATCGTATTTTACGAGTCACGGTTGCAATCGATTAATTATGTCTTTGCATTGCATCGCATTGCATATCGTATAGGTACGATGATGGATCAACGGATCGATTGAAGGATGATTGGGAATCCAAAGATGATGCAATGGGCTTCCTATTCAGTTGATGGTGGATGATCTGAAGATGTAGATACTAACTTTAAATATATCTTACCCAGGCAAGCCCCGGTATATAACCCCTACTTTTCTACAGTTTAAATTATATTTGTGCATTAAGTTTTAAGGCGTTGAAGGAAACCCACTTGCATATATATCTCTATCCTATGAGTCTTACTAGTATGACAGGATCGTGTCGAAGGCTATGCTACAGGACTCCGGTAGAAGTCGAGTGATTGCCTGTCACTCACGAGAGATAGGAAATATATTACTGTATTATTATCACTTGGAAAATATAAATAGTGGAAAGAAAAATGATGACTGGACAGGGATCTGGTTTGGGGTATTGGTGGGTGTAAGAAGTTGTGTCGCCGTGGACACGGGACATTGCTTGGTTACACTGTTTTCCCTGTCTGGTCGGTTAAGGACCGATCGTTGCATAAGGCATCTAGGCAAGTCACAGACTTATTATCCCGAGCACATACTTGTGTATGGGCGCTTGGAAGACTTGTTGCTCTTTTGTCACGGATCTGGCTCTTTCCGGACCGACTGTCAGGGTTTTATTTTGGTGGAGGTCCTTACACCGCACTGAGTCCGGGACTCAGGGGTGGGGGCTTAGAGTCCCAGTTTGGACGGGGACCTGGACATCCGGGACAGGAGAGTGATGGGTTGATCCTACTTGTGCATAGGGTACAAGCGGGGCGTGTGTTTTTGGGTACCCAGCTGGGGGCATTGATTCGTGAATCGCCGGATGATCCGGTACGACTTGTCTCGTGTTTAGCATTGTAGTAAGAACTAGAAGATGAAAAAAGGGAATCTGATTGCTTACCACCTACTTGAAAGTAGCACAGGTGCTTACATAGAATGATTAGTTAATGAACCATTGCGGCTATTAATAAAAATCGAATATAAGGACGCGCGCTTAGTAATGCTTCCTGCAAATGCAATAAACCCACAAGCCAGATAGCCTTGCATATCCTTGGAGTCTTTTCTTTTCTCCTGTCGGGTAAGTCTTGCTGAGTATAATTGAGTACTCAGGGTTTTATTCTCCCTGTTGCAGGTGACAGGTGGATGCTAGAGCTGACCCTTGTGTGTGGATACCTTCTGGTGGGCTCAGCGAGAATTTCTTTACGCTGCGATCGTAGTGACTTGCCTGGATGCCTTATGCAACGATCGGTCCTTAACCGACCAGACAGGGAAAACAGTGTAACCAAGCCATGCCCCGTGTTCACGGCGACACAACCTCTTACACCCACCAATACCTAAACTATATCCCTACCCAGTCACCATTTTTCCTTTCCACCATTTATATTTTTCAAGTGATAATCATACAGTAACATATTTCCTATATTTTGCGAGTGACAGGCAATCACTCGACTTCTACCGGAGTCCTGTAGCATAGCAATCTACACGATCCTGTCATGCTAGTAAGACTCATAGGATAAAGATATATATGCAAGTGGGTTTCATTCAACTCCTCAAAACTTAATGCACAAATATAATTTAAACTGTAGCAAAATAGGGGTTATGAACCGGGGCTTGTCTGGGTAAGATATATTAAAAAGTTAGTATCTGCATCTTCAAATCATCCACAATCATCTGGATAGAAAACCCATTGCATCATCTCCTGGAGAGAATACCATTACACCATCTTCAGATTCCTAATCATCCTTCGATCGATCCATTGACCCATCATCATACCTATATGATATGTATGCGATGCAATGCAAAGATGTAATTAATCAGCTGCAATCGTGACTCGTATAAATACGCTTTACGCCTCTCAAGTTAACGAGCTAGTTTTAACGACGACCGTGCTTAGGCTACATATACACGTTGTCGGATAAGACGCTATTTCCCAACAATTATTTTCGTTATACAAACCCAAGTTGTTTCTTTATTCCATTCTATCGATTTAACCGTTATTCGAAATAGAGCATCATTATCTACCTAGCAAACTAATTATTATTGAGCTACAAAAATTACAGTGAGTAGATAATATTATTAGTAGTTTACTATCAAATTTTTAGAGTCAACACTATTACCGATTTATTCCAAAAATTCCTACAAGTTCATCTTTTAACAATATTAAGCATTTTAAAATAATTATATAGCTCCTAGAAATATTGCCAAATTTTGTGAACAAAATATACTAACAGATAGAGCATGATTTTAGGAGACTAATAAAACTGGTTTCATAATTTTTGGACAGCTACATAAATTTTTATTGATTTTATAAATTTATTCTCGAAACTAATTTAGCAAAACAAAACACTCAACAGGAAAGGACCTGGGCGGCCAACTTGGTCCAGAGGCTGTAGTGTGTGGCAATGAAGATGACGGCAGCTGGCCCAGCAGCTCACATGTACTTGTTAGCAAGCTGCTGCCCGGTATGGGAGGAACGCTTGACCGGCCCAATGAGGGCTGCTGCCAGCCGTTGTTGCCACCGGTCGGCCACATGCACATGCAGCAATGAAGCGTTTGACCGGACACTGCGCTAAGCAAGCCGGCCCGGTGGGTAAAGTATGCCGGCGTGTTTTGCGAAAACTCCTTATTTGTTTTGCTAATCGCCAAACCCTATTTGCACTATTCATTCGAGTCGTGTATTTTGTAGTAAACACCTGCGTATTTCTATTTCTTGGATTTCTCACCTTCACGTCATCCCCCAAAAGCAGAGCTCATCACCGAAGAAGGGGAACCGGTCGGCGGAAAAAAAAATCGGCCATGGGCAAGGGGCGTGGCCCGCCGGTACGTAGGCACGGGCGGGCGTGGGTCTCACGCTGGGCGGGCGTTATGGCTTCGGCCACGGAGGCGCCTGAAGAGGCCCGCCGGTGCTCGCCGGTGGAGGAGCATGGCGCGCGTCCGGCGTGGGAAGGTGGGCGGTGCATGCTTGCTTTCATGGGGACGGCCAAGACCGGCGTGGCGGCGCGTGTCCCGACGGGCGGCAGCAGTGCCGCGGCGGCATGGGCTCTGCTGCGTGCCAAGGCAGCGAGGTCGCGGAAAAACAACGGAGCATGGAAGCGCCATCGCAGCGGTGGGGCAAAGCTGCGTGGGGTCGGGCAGCTCACGGGAGGGGCGGTGGAGCTGCTGGCGCCGGCAGACGGCGGGCGTGAGAACCGGGGCGGTGGCGGAGACCCAGCGGAGAGTTGCCCGGGAACTCGCGCGAGCACGACCCGACCACGGCAAGGCCCGAGCTGCCCCACAGCAGCCTGCCCGCGCAAACCACGGAAGGTGGCAAAACGGCAGCGGCGGCTCCGATTCCACGGCGGCTCGGCGAGGAGCGAAAGTATGCGGCGCCGGATGCATATGTGCTTCGCCTTAATGCACAAATATAATTTAAGCTACAGAAAAGTAGGGGTTATGGACCGGGGCTTGCCTGGGTAAGATATATTAAAAAG